CGTGAGTTTCAGACTCTGTGGCCTGCAGAGAGCCAGTGGATACAACCTCCCCCTTAATCAGGACAGATACATTCGAAAGTAAAACAAGAAAAAGAAGAAGAGGGGGGAAAAGGCAGTCGATTTTAGTTCCCTTCAGGTTTTACAATTGTGAACTCTGTGTGCAGTGCCTGCTTTAGTGCATGCTTTAGTTCACCCCCCTCCCCCCCTTGGCAAGCGCTAAGGACAGAAATGCCAACAGTACCCTCTGCATAGCCTCTGCAGTTCCCCTCTTCTTTTCTGGGCTTGTCTTTCAGAAAATGGTAGCCTGACCAGGAACCCTAAAATAAAGGTTACTTACAAAACATTTGATATGGGAGAAAGGTCAAACTATTGACCAAGTTAATTTTTAATATATGTGGGCCCCTGAAACCTCTTTTCTAAAACCAGCCATTGAGCTTATTCCCATTTAGTTATCACTCCTCTTTCAGTTTCAGTGCAATTGGTATACTCAGGTTTTCAAGATTTTAGGAACTATAAATAACAGTATTTTAGCCTGGTTGTCTGTGGAGGCAGAGCATAGATGATATACTTCTACCCCCCAGTTCTCGCTCTAAGGTTTTTTTATATAGGTAATTTCAATCCACTTTGAAAACAGGTGCAAAAACAGGGCTCATTTGTGATGAGTCTGCATTGTCCACAAACTCAGCAGGTTGGGACCTGTCTGCTGAAGGTGTCATGCAGTCAGCATAAAGGCTTGAAAACTGGCCAGTGACATCTTAGAAATTTAAGGTCAGCCAATCAGGTACAACATTTGGGATGAGCTAATTGGCTTAGAACATTTTTAAACAATTCTGTCAACACATAATCTTATCAAATGACATATAAGAAAATGAGGCTTCATTTGCATACTGAACAAAAGTTGTATTTCAGGGTAAGGATGAGGGACATAAACTACCATAGCTTCTCTATTCACTTTCTATATTATCCGTAAAAAATGCAGTTTCAGAAGTACAATCATTGTTATTTTTCACCATAAATTATATATTGTCACCCTATACCTTATATCTATATTCAGAGCAGAACTAATCTTCATGAAATTGGCTCTCTATGAATATGTCATATATACATAATTTCCAGACAAAGATTGCCTCAAATTTGAGGGTGTTATTAATGGAAAACCATGTCAAACCAGTTATAACAACTCATCTGTTGAATAAGCTACAGGGGCTTTTCTCCCAGACATTGTGACTGCCCTGAAATCTTTTGTCTTCCACATACAAATGTCTGGCATAAAATTATCTTTTCCTCAATGCAGAATAAATTGTTTAGGCTGTTCGTCAAGGAAGCACATGGCATGTCCTGTAGGAAAGAACTCATGAACGGTTACCTGTGTCACTGGGGCATCTGCAGCAGGTCGCAGGGCTGGAGATGGCTCTGGAGAGGAAACAGGAAGTGTTGCTGGGGCAGCCTGGACCTCTGAGGCCAGCTGAGAGGGCTCCAAGGCTTTCTCCAGACTTTCACCTTCTTCTGATGGCTCTGTTCCAACTTGTTCTACCTCTTCGATTTTTACTTCGTCTTCTTCTTGTACTTCTTCCTCTCTGTCTCCTCCTCCTTCCTCTTCTACTTCTCCCTCTCCTTCTTCTTCTTCTTCCTCTTCCTCTTCTGGTAAGGTGATGTATTTTTAAATCATTACAATGACCACTACAGCCATGAAAACAATTAATGGCCAGGGCTAGGACTATCGCCCAAGTATGCCATCATGCTGGAGTTTTTTGCTTCTAGTTAAATGTGGACAGGACACATGTGAAGGGTGCCAAAGCATCACCATCCTCCTTTCTCCCCTCCTCAGTATGATATCTAGTCCTCACCACCACCATGCACCATTCCCCTGACCCTCAGAGCCTGTTCACATTGTTACCACGCACTGTCACATCTACAAGCTCCTGAAAGGTTAGGATTATCACTTATTTATCTCCATCAAGTCAAATGAAAATGCAACTCTCTTCTTTATCTAGTTTTATTTTAATTGCTTACTTCCTTTGTTCAGTGAATGCTGACTTTTGTCACAGTTAATGTCATCTTTTACTAACCTGTTACTCTTAATATTCCCTCAGACAATAAGGAGAGACGATATTAATTTTTCAAAAGATCCATCCAGAAAATTTGCTTCTAAAGTTATATCTGTGAACACTAATACAGCTTCCTGGCATTAACAGTAGTCTAGCTGAGGTGCCTCATCACCTAGATGGGCTAGGATGGGTGAAGGCCATCAAAGACTTGATCAGCTCCAAGGTGATTTTCCTCTTTTCAGTGATTTCATTAGGATAAATTTCAGGAGTGGGATTTCTGGGCCAAATGGTAGGGATGCATTTATAACTCAGGGAGTACATCTGGTCACATGGTCCAAGTATTATTACCAGGTTGTGACTTATTCTTGACTTGCTACTATTCTTGCCCTTGAAAGTTTGATTAAGTGGATGAACTACACTACTTATCCATATGTCTTCCATGTTTTATTTTTATCTCATCTCTAACCTTGCACCTGATGACATCTTACATCATTGTGGCTAACACCTTGTGGAGGGTTGAAATTGAGATTTCATCATCACCATCAACTATTAAGTGTTTGACTACCCAGAGTCAAATGCCCAATAATGGCATTATAATGGACACTGTGATATGCAAAGCTAAATTAACACGGTCAACAAACTGTATGATTTTGTAATGAAGTAGAGCTTCACATTAGATTATAATCCTTATAAAATTGTCACCATCCATTCTGAAAGTGACTCTGAATCCACCTTCTCTCCCACTGAACTCTCTGCAGCTTTCACACACTTGCAATTTTGGCCAAATGGTCACAAGAATAGCAAACCTCTGTAAAAATCAATTTCACGTATTATTTTCTCTTCTCTATTGAGGTTGACTGTGAAGTGGTTCATGTTTTCATAACCATGCTCTATTTTCTCCATCTGAAATGCCTTCGATGCTTCAGAAATTCTGCAACAAAGACAAGTTGCTACTTTGTGTTACTGTTTACAGTTTTGACAGCCTTGGATAAAAATGAAAAATATTGCATTTTTCCTTAAAATGAAAATTACTTACTTTTGTAATAGGGTTTTGGCATTCTGTGAAAGCAAACAAAAGACAAGCCTAGTTAAATTCTTTTCATCAAACATGATGTTGAGACTTAATTCTTTCCTTTGCTGACTCTGAAAATCTCATAGTTTAAATTTTAAATGCCATAAATAACTGCTCCTTTATACCAGAACCATCTTATATTTAAGCAATGTCATGGTCCCTTAAATATATGCTCATGAAATTTTTTAAGCAGATGGAGAATAAGCACATGATGAACTTATATTTTAATTGGTAAAATAGATCAGAATGAGATGTACATAGCAAAAACATGATGACAACCACTTCTCCAACCCCCATGTGCTTGGTTAGTTTCCTCTGATGCCAAAAGGAGACTTACCTGCAGAAACACTGCCATTTCTGGCTCATCCATGAACTGGATTCCTGACTCGACCAACTTTGATACATTCTCCAAATGATCAGAATACTTTTTGATCAGAGCACGGACATGTTCCAGTTTTTCCCCTTGAGTTCGGGTAATGACTTGGGTCATCTCATTCTTCCTCTCCTCCAGGATGCCATATAGGTAATCAAACTTCTCACAAAGTTCCTGTTTCTGTTTTTTGCAGCATTCCTATTAGTTGGGTTAGCTAATGTTAGAAAGTGTTTGAAAGAATGTCTATTTGGAAAAAGCACCTGGACATTTGGGGAGATAAGAAACTTTATTTATGTAGGATACTTTTCCCTTAAGCTATCACTTACAGATACCTACTGTGTTGATACTTTGAAAATCCCACTTTTATCCAATTATGTGGCCAATCCAAAAGTAATCAAATTGGCTAAATGGATCAATTATCTTTCCATATTCTGTTCTTTTTTTAAAAAATATATTTTATTGATTTTTTACAGAGAAGAAGGGAGAGAGATAGAGAGTTAGAAACATCGATGAGAGAGAAACATCGATCAGCTGCCTCCTGCACATCCCCCGCTGGGGATGCGCCCACAACCCAGGCACATGCCCTCGACCGGAATCGAACCTGGGACCCCTCAGTCCGCAGGCCGACGCTCTATCCACTGAGCCAAACCGGTTTCGGCCATATTCTGTTCTTTATAAATGGATAATTTTATAAAAATTAAGACAGGTTTTATTTTAAATTATATACTGGCTATATAGCTTATAGGCTATATTGCTTTGGAGAGAGAGAGAGAGAGAGAGAGAGAGAGAGAGAGAGAGAGAGAGAGAATGAATAAGGAAAAAACTATGGTACTTCCTAGTTTGTACCCTCAGTCTTCCTCTGTCCTGTCTATACTGCTGCTGTTGCAGTTCAGTCATCCCATGTAGATTCTGAAGCTTCCAATGGCCTCAGCATCTGGGATGTCCTCTTCAAGCCAACAAACATGCTGCTGTCAAATTCATTTTCCTAGGATATAGTGCTTTTTCTCTGTTATGACTCCCCAGTGCCCAAAGAATAACACTTTAACTTTACAAATGGCTTTCAAATCTTTTTATTACCTGAGTCCAGCTTTCCTTCACCATATATTACTCTTCTCCATCACATACCATGCCTGTGTCCAGCAAAAATGAATCACTCACTTTCTTTTCTCATATTCCCCCTCTGTTTAGAATGTTCTGCCCCAATTCACAGTTGCAAACGCTAAACTATCTTGAAGACTTGTTGAAATACCACTTCTTCCTTGAAGCTTTCCTTGATCTCTATGAATGTCATTTTTTAATCTTCTGAAATTCCATAATACTTACCATTTGTGGCATATACTTGCATTCAGGTGCTCTATTTATCCAATATTGTCATAAGAGAGTGAAATATTGAATCTAGTCTTGGATTTCTGGAATGAAAGGCTGTATGGGAAGTCAGCCTTGTCCATTTGCACTGTGTGACTAAAGCATCTCCAGTACCAACCAGCTCCCTTTATACTCTGAGTCCGTGTTTAAATCCAGTTAGGCCTTTTGGTGTTTCAAACTCCAGTAAGCTTGATGTGTGTGTGTGTGTGTACCTGTCTCCTTGGACCTGACCATCTGGGTCCAGGACCTTTATGGCTGAGAGCAGGTTTTGAGCCATGATGATCCAACCTAGCTCTCCTGCCTAGTGGGTGCTTCCTAGACTCAGCCAATTTATCTCTGACATATCCGACCTTTGTACGATCCTTATTACCTATTCTTTTATTTTAGTAAACATTAGTCTCTTTGATATCACATATTTCTTTCTCTACATGAGTTTCTTAAAAATCTAAATGATAATCTCCTTGGGAATAGAATCCGGTCTTCCTAGGACACATACCACCTTGGACAGATGTTCAATAAATATCTGCTGAATAGATTTTTTTAAAATCATGTTTCATTTTCCCCCAATTTCTCTACTATTCTCAGACTAAGAGGGGGAAAGGAATGACTTAAAGTAAATGGTTAATTATGAAGATGCTCCACAAATGTGCAAACAATACATCCTTCACTCCACTGCTTCCGTTGGATAATATAGTTAGTTCTCATAATAGTATTGCTGTCATCCACCCATCTATTCATTCATTTAACAAATGATTAAGTATATCATTTGTGTCAACTGCTGTGCAAGGCTCTGGGGACCTAACAATGAATTAAACATAATTCCTGTTGTCAAGGAGCTCTCAGTTCACTGAATGAGAAAGACTATGGACCAATAATATAATATAACCTAGTAGGCTGAATAATTGAAATATATTAAGGATTTATATCAGGCTTCATAGAAGCATAGAGGTGGGGCCTTAATCAATCCTTTGTGTGGGTAGGGGATATCAAGGAGAACAGGACAAGGGTGGTGATATTAGCTCAGGAAGTGATGCCCAAATTTGGACATAAAAGATGAACAGGAGTACAGGAGGGGATGAAAATGTGTAGAGTCTTGGTAGCTGTCAAAGTAATAGTACAGGGGCCCACACAGCATGTCCAGACATGAAAATTGCTGGACTTACCAAATTCCCATCCATTTCCAGCCCTTTAGCTTAAGATTTAGACTATTATGCAGCCTAGGAACTGAAGCCTGTTAGTAGCTTCCCAATCAAACTCTCTTTCTCTGTCTTACCTCCTGTTCTAAGCTTACAAGTAACTATGTACCCACTGCATTCCTGAAGTACACCTTTGATGTTCAGATGCTATACTGCTTACTGTGACTATATGATGGTTTCTAGCTTATTTTTCTAAAGTGAATTGTGCACTTAAAACATTCAGAATAGTGAGTATTATATTAGTATGTGATAGTAGCAGAATGTATTTGTTTCATAAAATTTTCTCCTATATGATTTAATATGTGTGAGAAATTTGTGAAAGCCGAATTCTTTTCAGTGAGGCTAATGTGAAGTCATGTGAAGGCTAGTGTATTTGCTCAGGTCAAAGATTAGATCACTTATTTGACCCATATAATTTTCACTTAGTGGCTTAAGTGGAATACCATGTGTTATTTTATTTCTATTCTGGTTTTTAATGATTTCCGCTTTATTGATTTTTTATAAAATTGCTATTATTTTAATAGCACCTACCATTTGCTTATACTTTACAGTTTAGGAAATGCTACTCCATGGCTAGACTTTCAGCAGCTCACTTTTCCCCAGGCACTTATTGATGTCTAAATGATCTTGTTATTCATGTGTTCATTATCTATCTCTTCCACTAGAATAACATCTTCCTGAAAAGCAGGTGCCTCTTCCGTTTAGTTCACCTATATTTTCCCAGCATTACCTGTGCAGTCAATGCGCACATGAGAAATATGGTGTGAATGATTGAATGAAATCTAGGAATGGTCAATCCTCATTCAAAAGTTTCTATTTTGTTCTGTCCCAAAGAAATGGGTATTTAACTGGATATCCCAAGCCTCTTCTTAATTCACTGCTCAAAAGAAAAAAGCCAGAAATAGCTATGCAACCCCAAGGAAACCATTTTACCTCAGGATAATTTTTTTTCTTAATCTGTACATTAAAGGATGGGATTAAATAGTTGCTCAGATCCCTTCTTTCTCTACAGTTCCAATATTTTACAGTTTAGGAAATGCCTCTTTATATCTAAAATGCCTCTTTTGATTCCTGGCAAGTTTCAAAGTGGGCATTTACAGCACTAAGATATATTGCATGCTCTCTAGCCCTGCAATGTCAGCTTGGCAATGTGCCATGGTCACGATAGGAAAAAAACCTGAGACAGTTGTGACCACTGCTCTACCATGTGAGGAGCGTGGCTTTGTGACCAAAATAGAGCAGAAGATAAGCTTTTAGCCCCACCACTTGTCATTGAGCAACTGGCTCTGCCAAGCCTCCCAGTATTCATGTGTCTACCACGTTCCTCCATTCGAGATACACTTGTTTGGAGCTGCAGCTCTGGGTCTGTAAGTGCCCACTCAGCTTCACTTGAAATACAGAACTTCAAAATTCCCTTCAATAAGCAAAAATAAAGGTGTAAAAGTAGACAGTAGATTAATAATACTAGAGAAAGAACTCTATTAAGGTAGGAAGATTCTCTCAAGGAAATCAAACCCAACTCCTCACTTATAAAAGCCCACTACAAGAACTTGGAAGAAGTCCCAAGAGTGCAGACCAGGATTAGAGCCCAGGTCTCTGCTAGGCTGCACTAGAAAAGAGACCAACACAGTAGAAAGACACTGTCTCTCCAGGCACATGGGCTGGAGTTCACCCCCTCTCCAGCCATCTGGCCTCTGTGCTGTGTTCAGGGAAGAACTCTATTCAATGGCCTTGGGCCTCAAGACTCCCAAACTCATGCTTTTTTTTCTACCATATTATATCACCCCCACTTCATGTTAGAAAAATAATGTTATAATTTATGAAAATTCTAATGCTTCCTCCTGGAGTTCTTGGCATTAGGGGTTTGCTGATTAGTTCTGATCATTTAAAAGTCCTTGAGTAAACTCCCTGAAGGCTGAGGGCCAGGTGAGCCCATCCTGACTCAAGCCCCATGGTTCAGACTAAGGCAAGCTGAGCAGATTTCAATTCAGTCCCATGTGCTCTGGGTAGTCAGTATGTTTCCCAGAAGAGGTTCAGTCTCCCTTGCTTACCAATATTTCAAGTTACCAGAAAGCTTCCTAAGATAAAGATAGAACTTCCATTCATTCTCCAATGTTCCCTTTGCAGGGAGTTGCTTCACCCTCCTATCATAATAGGACTCATAGATAGAGAGCAGGCTGACAGCTGTACAGGATTGGGGGTAGGGGCTGGGGGAGTAGAGAGATTGAACAAAAAAGAAAAAAACTCGTGGAAACCGATGTGTGGTGATTGCTGAGGGGAGATTGGGATGTGGGGAGGTGTAGAAGAGTGTAAGGAGGGATAAACGGTGATGGATGAATTGAGGTGGTGAACACACAATACAGTATACCGATGATATGTTGTAGAATTGTGCATCTGAAACCTGTATAATTTTGTTAACCAGTATCACCTTCCCCCCAAAAAAATACAAAAAAATCAAACTCTGAAATCTGTTCTCTTAAGCACATATTATATTGCTGTTTGAATACTGCCTTAAAAATTAGAGCATGCTTATTAAAATGATTCTTATTATAGTCATGGGAAATGTTCCAAAGCTGTTTGGGTAAAATCACTATTTTGGAAATACAGTGGATTATTTCTCACTGCAAAATTATTAGAGAATTTTATTAAAGTTGACATTTTTCAGATATTGCAAATGCTCAGAATCAAATATTTATTATTCAATTTGTAGCTGTTTCTCCTAGACAGGCATCTAGGAAAACAGGATTATTTCTAGCCTGCCTGCCCACTATCCTCAGGAAGGCCAATATTAATTGTCTGCTCTCTTGGGGTCCAGTGACATAGGATAAGTGCCATTTACAAAGACTATATGGGGGAGCTTACATTTTCTAGAGATGAAGAATGAAAGTCAAGCACATTTTTCTGGAAGCAGAGAGCTCCTGAAGTACACTTCTCCAGTCCCACTAGCAGCCCCCCTCCTCAGTCCCAGCTGGTCCCAGGACATTTCAGGGCCTGGTAAGGTGAGGGAAGATAGCCCCAGACCTTGCCTTTGCAATCCAGAGCCCGGGAAATGCCCCACCCTGAGCCACATCAGCCAGGATGGCTAGAAGGACAGAAGGCTCTTTCATCTGTCATCAGAACATAGCAACAGGGAAAATGCCACTCCCCTCACACAGCTCAGAATGCCCTTCTGTGACTATGCCACTCTCATCATCAATGGGAACTCACCCCAACTGAACACATTACTTTTAAAGGGTAACAAGGAGTCCACAATGTGATTTCTCCTAAGCTCGGCAGCTCGCCAGGACCAGTCCAGGGCCAGGTGCCTGGCCAGGCCAGCTCTGCAAGACACTGCATGATTAGGGACAGAATTAGACATGTAAAGGGAATGGACACTTGACCAAAGGGCAGATGTCAGGCTCCTTGTGGGGAGAGGCAAGTAATTAGGGAAGGACAGAGCCCACTCCAGGGGCTGCTCCATTTCCTGTCCCTCAGGGGTTCCTCACCAATCAGAAAGGAGAATTCTTTAACAACAGCTCCCCACCCCCTGGTCCACAGCCACCAAAGGCTTTCCAGCAGGTGGTGAGCACAGCCTGAAAGGGAAACAACAACCCCAGGCAGAACCAGGGACACGGGAGCTCTGGGACCCTGACGTGGGTACAGAATTCACCTGCTTGGCAAGGTAGGACAATTTCACTCTGAGCCAAGGACCCAGTGTGCTTCACTAGCTGGCTTCTGGGCCAGCAGGAAGTGAGCTGCTGGTGCTTTGCCCACTGAGGAGGTCCTACCTGTACAGGAGAGCACCTTAGTGATTACAGGCGTACCCAATGTGGCCATTTTGTGGCAGCATCTCTGTCCTCGGGCCCCTTCACAGGGGTATATTGGCATCAAGTGGGAATCCTAAAATCAGATATTTCCATGGGGCTCTGAGCCAATCCCTGCATTTCCTGATAAGCCACCTAAACTAATGTGAAGGAACTGTGCTTATCTGAGCCATATTCACTCATTCATTCACTCACTCTTACTTATTTTATTGGATATTAAAATGTCAGGCTTGCTTTAGAAAAATGTGGAATGCAGGAATATATAAGGAAGGCATTAAAAATTGTCTATGGTCCCATTATTCACTGCTCTAAACCTGGAGTTTTTCCCCCTATGGATGTGGGGTTGTTTTTTAATATATACATTCCATACTTTTTATATACCACTTTTTCATTGGATTCTCTTAAGGTAAAACCCCAGGTTTGAAATAAACAGATAAAAAAGTTGGGCACTTTTAAGACTCCTGCTGCCCTATCAATAGATAGTCTGCCTGTGGACTGAAGGTAAAAATCAATTTAATAGGGGAGGCTAGGGGACTGTCTAGGGCGGGGGGAAAAATGGACACATATGTAATACCCTTTGTAATAAAAAATAAAATTTGAAAAAAAAAAATCAATGGGAAAATATCCTCAGGTGAGGATTAACAACAACAAAGCCTCCTGCCAATTTGCAGTCTCACCCTGAAGCCTTCCAGGAGACAATTACACATCCTCTTCTAGTAACCTGTGAAAGTACTTATAAAAGTGCTGTGTTCGAGGAATGCTTTTATCAGTAATTATAGAGATAATAATTCTGATGGTCGCTTCCAGGAAGCTCTTCCTGACATCTGCACTAAATCCGTTCTGCTAACATAACTGCACACCTGTTCCTTCTAGCCTGGTTCTCAGTGGCAATAAAAAACAGCTGCTTCCTATTGCACCTGAGCTCCCAGGAACAAAACTGCTGTCTAATCTCTCCACGCCCTCTCAGTGTCCTCTGACACTGGCTTTGCTCAAGGCCAACTGCGACTCACAGGACTTTTCTCCCGTATGTGTCCCCAACCTAACGTCCCTCACAGAAAGCCCTCCCTTATCTCTGATGAAGGCCAAGCAGAGACAAGTATAGAGATTATCTCACTGGCCCACAAGCAACACTCTCCTATTTATATACTCAAGACTCGATGTGGTACTACACTGGAGTGCTGATTCATGGCTTATTGGTTGAGTTGTATTTGACCTTTACTGTAAATAAGTAAAAAGAAAAAAGTTAATATTGTCCACTTCAGAATCTTTTGGGCTTTTCTCCAAGAGAAAATTTTTCTTCTATGAATTGATCCCAGATTTATGGGTTCTCATAGGAATATGAGTGTGGAGAAGAGAGAAGATTGACTTTCATGATTTGTGAATCTAAAATGAGATGATTTTGGCCAATATCCTGAAGTCATCACCTAGGAACTGGCCTTTGGCTTTTGATAGAATGTGCCTTTCTAATGATAAAATGATAAGACTATGGCATTTGCTGGGCACTCACCATATGCTAGGCACCATGCTAAGCATTTTGCTTATATTCCTTTAATTTCTCACAGTAACTATGAAGTAGGTACTATGATTACTCCAATTTTACAAAGGAGAAAACTGAATGACTGAATGTACATGTGCTTAGTTTTTTAAAAGTAAGAAGCAGAATGAGAAATACAACACAATGCCATTTATAAAATTAAAAGACATGCATATAAAACAATACATATTTTATAAGGATACAGGTAAATGGAACATCAAGCACGTTAGAGTGGTTATTTACAGAGAAGAGAACAGGAGTGCAAAATAGGGATAAAAGGAAATAAATAGATAACAAGAGGGGCCTTGCCCACAAATATGAAGACAATTAGCCATGAACTGAGCAGTACAATGCCTCAACACTCTGCACCTGAAGCCCAACTAAAAAACAAATTACCCTAAAACTTTGAGCAGGGAGGGAGGAATAAATGGCTCCAGGGTACAGGGCCAGAGACCTAGATGTCTTACGCCTGTCTCTCTGCAGCAGGGCTCAACTAGTCTGTGAATCTTCAAGTCTTGACAAGATATCTGCTACAGAGCTAAACCTTTTTAGGTCCCAGCATTTTGCCTTCAGCAATTATACTGTTTATCATTGACCTTGGGGGAAAAGTGGATTTCCTATGTTTTTAACATGCCAAACCTAAGTCTGAACTAAATAGCCAACCATTCATCCATTTGTTCATCAAGTTTTCATTGAGTGTTTATTATGTACCAGGTACTGGGCCAGGCAGAGGGCAAACAGAGTTGAACAAACCAGAACTCAGGCCTCCATGAGCTCCCAGTTAATGAGCCATTCCCTAAGCACCATCAGGCAGATCTCTCTTCCTGCTGGTCTTTTGCAGCCCCACTGTCAGAGCACAGATATGCAGCTCAAACTAGAATAAGAATTTCTTGCTAGCATTTCTTAAGAAGATTTAGATTTCCACAAAGAAATTGTGTTATAAAGGCCGACAACACTCATTTTCATTATGGGGAATTATTTCCCTGTAGCTAATCTTTCAAAATGGGTTGACCAAGAAGACCAATGCATATAACAAAACCCTAATAAATGTGGTAAAATCACAGGAGGTGAATATTTTAGAGACATATCAGGAAGGAGGTCCTTCTATAAGATGAGATGGAAATGTTGAAATGGTTTTCTAGTGTAGTGTTAAGGAAGCCACATCCCTAGGAGTTCAGTTTTGGTTTACACTTCTGTGGAGTCTTACTTACCTCAATAGTTTTACAGGTGTCCTCCAACTGGCTGATCACTCCCTGGACTCGATCATTGCTTCCCACAAGGACAGCAATGCCATCACTGAGCTCAGACTAATGAAGAGAAAAGAGGGGTGCAAGATCTTAGGGGTTTTATAGTCAGCACTGATTGTGAATTAGTCATAGTGTTGTCCTCATGGGTTCTTAACCTAGGATCTATAAAACCCAAAGGAGGAACAGAGAGTCTCAGGAGTTCTGTGAACCTCCTAATCTTGTAAGTAAATTCTGTATGGATGAGGATAGAAATACATTTGTGTAGGAAGAGGCTTCATATTTTTCATCAAATTCTTACCAGACTGTGACCCTGTTAAAAACATTAAGAATGCTAATTATAGGCCATAGGTAGAGAATAGCATATTCAAGCTAAAGAATTATAAGTATTGTTTATAAATTGAATGGAGTTCAATATGTGACATCAGAAACAGAAAATAAATGATTTGCCAAGTGCAGCTGAGGATTAGTTTTACTTGGGAAATATATATAGTGACGACTCATTCATCTATTCACTTATACTTATTCAACATATACTTATCATGCACCTTCTATGTGCTAGGTGTACACATACTCATGTACTAGACTAAGTCACTACAATGTTACTTGAAACTACTAGCATTCAACTGGTTCCAGGGGAAATTCCTCTCAGGCTCTTGACAAGAAGACATTGCTTTGTTTGTACTTACTCCCTTCCCAAGATTGGCTAAGGAGCACGAAGGAACACAGAATGGGGAAGTAGGAGATCTACCTGCTTGGACCAACTCTGCCTTTAACTTCTCTATGATGTTGGGCAAAATGTGTAATCTAATTTTCTCACATTTTAAGTGGCAAGAACAGTGGTTGTAAAAACAATTTAAAGCTGAAGAATGCTTTCTTCAAATGGAAGAAATGGATGAGAGTGAAGCTATTTTGGCCAAACAGGAGTGGGGTAAAAGTCCTGCCATCTATCCTTCTGTTCATCCCACCTGAGTCTCCAGGGCACTGAGGGAAGCAGTGTGAAACTGGTACTAGTCAGTTCTAGTACACTAAGACTAGGGGTGGAAGGAAAGGAGGAATAAATCACAAGTAGATAAGACACTGAGGAATAGGGGAGGCTAGGGGACTGTCTAGGGCGGGGGGAAAAAATGGACACATATGTAATACCCTTTGTAATAAAAAATAAAATTAAAAAAATGTTATAGATGTCTTATGAAATACTGCTTTTTTAGCAGTTAGTACTCACTGGGGAACTGGTGAGGTGTTTAAAAGTTTGGC